AGTGACGTGCGGATTGTGTGCAGTGACTCTGCAGGCTGCATCAGCGTGCTCTCTCTGGCTGAAGGTGCTTTAACAACACTGTCTCAGTGGAAAGCCCATGACTTTGAGGCCTGGATCTCTGCCTTCTCTTATTGGGACACACAGCTTGTGTACTCTGGTAACATATATCCTGTCACTCTTAAAAATTAATGTGTTAATTGTTGCAAACAAAGAAAAGCGTATTCTAGAATCTTACGTATCATTTGCATAAATCCAAATAACTGTATTTTTCAGTAAGAACAGGAAACCCATCATAGCAGGTAGGTTTGAATAGCTTTTTTCGTTTTAAAAACTCTGTTTTGTATTTACTTGGATTGGATTTGTGATTTAAAAATAAAATATTCTTTGATCTAAAACATTTTTTGTTTAGTCCATCTTTTTCTGCAAACAAAATAACGGTTAAATACTAATTAGGATTCAATTAATAATTGGTGAGTGGCATCTTATTTGCTGAAATCAGTCAGTAAAACTGATATACAACTGTCATGTGAAAAATAAAGTAAGTACATCCTATTTCAGTTCTGAGGTTTCACATATGAATCCTTTTCAGCTTCTAATATGATAAAATTATTACCTCAGATGAGCAACACATGCCATTATTTATGTATTTGAAACTAAGCCAAAATCCAGAAGCAGTGAGTAAAACCTTAAGTGCACCTCATGATTCAGAAGATTGTAGAACCAATTTTAGCAACTGTAGCTTGAAGTAATAATTTTCTGTGTGACTTCATTAGTCTCTGACATTATTGTGGATGCATCTTGCCCTCATTCTGCTTTACAGCTTTACTGCAGTTTATTGACATTTGTGGGTACAGCTGTCTTAAAGTCCAGGTTTCTTTGGGTTGAGGTTCTTTGCGCAATTGCAACGTCTGTTGTATGACAGCATTTGGTCCAGAGTTTTAGCTGTTTGACTCCTCTGTGTTCTTTGGTATACAGAGGAGTTCATGGTCAAGGTTCCCAGGTTCTGTGCCTGCAAAATAATCTCAAATCATCATCCCTCCACCACCACAGCTCCACGACAGATGGTATGAGTTGGTGTTTCACCTTGACCAAATGCTATTAAGCTGCTTCAGTATGAGATGGTATTTGTACTACTATGCAATGTTTGGTCTTCACCAAATATGGCACTGTGCATTATAGCAAAATCTCTCCAATTTGGTCTTGTATGTCCAAAGGTCATTGTTCCTGAAGTGTTGTGGTTTCCTCAGATGCAACTTCATAAACCTAAGCTATATTGCGGTGTGTATTTGTTTTTGGTTTTCTTTGCCCTTTCAAATGAGACAATGTTGTTCAGTCTGATTGTACTGTCAAGAAGTTTAACATTTAACATGCTAAGTGAAGCCTACATATTCTGAAATGTAGCGATTTTCGGAGTTTCACTCGGCATTGCACAGTCTGACTTTGGGGTCAATTTGCTGGGATCGCCACTGTTTGGAAGATTCGTATTTGTCTTCAGTGTTTTCCACTTGTGACTAATTATTCTCACTGTAGAGTGATGGATTTGAAATTGTTTGGAAATGGCCTTATAACCCTTCCAAGTTTAATCAATAGCAACAATTGCTCCTCTAAGTTCATTGTTTACGGCTTTCCTGCTGGGCCTTGTGCTAACACACGAGTGCTCCGGACCAGAAAACTGTCAAGCCGATAATCAGTATTTGATTATCGGCTCCTGGCTGATGATTGCTGATAATTAACAGCCTGAGTAGCAGCCAATTAATTCCCGTGGAAGCATATTGTCCTTGGTTTTTCACACATCCCTTCTGCATTTTGGTTTATTGTTAAATAAATGACACAGTGTAATATGCCATGTGTTGTTTATCTGATGTTGTACTTACCTATTGTAACCTCTCCTAAGAAGCAGATGATATTTTTGTCCTTGTATATAAAACCTTAGATTTCAGATATGGTGTACTTTATTTTTTTTATCATGACTTTAAATCATACATATGTGCCACCAATTTGTGTGCCTTACACGGGTAGTTTGTGAGCTCACATTGATGCTGCCTCTAAATCGGCCATCTAAATATTCTCCTGTGCTGTGTCATGTGTTGTTTTCTCACCAGGTGGTGATGACTGTAAACTGAAAGGTTGGGATTTAAGGATCGGTCCCTCCAGCCCCACTTTCATAAGTAAAAGGTGAGGTTGATAGTGTATCAGTTTTCATGTATATATTCCATTTTGACAGTGTGCAGACACAAATTTATGTTGTTTTCTTTCAAAGGCACTCGATGGGTGTGTGCAGTATTCACAGCAACCCTCATCGGGAGCACATTCTGGCTACAGGCAGGTAAATATCCTGATGTTGAGCTGTTGTTGTGTAAGAGTTGTATACTTGTTGCTCCTCTCACGCACTTCTCCTTCCACAGTTACGATGAGCAGGTTTTGCTGTGGGATGGCCGAAACATGCGGCAGCCCCTGAGTGAGACTCCATTGGGTGGTGGAGTGTGGAGACTGAAGTGGCATCCCAGCCATCAGCACCTGCTGCTGGCAGCCTGCATGCATAATGACTTCCACATCCTTCACTGTCAGCAGGCTCTAGGTGTGTTTGAATAAGTGATAAACAATAAAATGGTCGCTCTGAATTAGACCAGCTTTAGGCCTGTGAAAACACAGTTTTCACCTCACACTTTGTGGTGATTCTGTCTCTCCCATTGGACTGACAGCCTGCGTGGGCTCTTGCCTAGTTTAGCTGGTTTGGACTCCAGAGAACGGTCTAGTTTCAGCTTCTTAAATATGAGAATTGTTTGACAATTGTCTAATTATAATTGATCTTAGCTGTCTTTTTAGCTTCTCAGAGTGGAAAGGTAGCTTAATGAACTTATCATTACTATTTATAGATACTGCACAATTTGAAGAAATTAAGCAACAGAGCATATACCTTTTTGCTTTTTTATAGGCTCTTTAAAAACGATGGACTAGAGTCCAGGCCTGAAAAGGCAAACCATGTAGCATTTTAAACCTGCATTCTTTCTAATGGCCAGCAGGGAGCCACTCCTTGTCGTGAAAAGAAGTCTGACTCTATAAAAATGTATGGGAAAATGAGCATACTGCTCTATAAATCTGTTGCCTCACGAAATGCTTTCCTGATGACATTCTCTGTGTCCTCAATTTCTCAAATCAAACATGGACACATGTCCATGTTTGCCAAGGGGTGTGTAACACACACAAAAAACAACCTGTCTGAAACAGATGGATGCCAAACACACCAAAATGGTGTTTGTGTTTGATAGGAAAGATTCTGTGAATGGTGCTGGCAGTGTAAATAGCTTTGAATGGTGAAAGGCTTCCTTCTCTACCTGAAACATCAGTAGACCTCACATATTGTACAAATGGTTGTTTTTACCAGGAGAAATCTGTGGGGGGTTTTAATAACTTACTGTTTGTTTACTTACAGAGGGCAGTGCAGGAGCATGCCCCATTGTAACCTCATACATCCTCCACAGTTCCTTGGCATATGGAGCAGACTGGTCCAGGCTGTCCCTGGAGGACCATACTGCCTGTTCCCCGCCTGCCACAGAACCAAAGGAAAGCCCTGCAGAGAACCGAGGACACTTAAGGATTCAGTATGAATCTCCCACTGCCAGCTTTGACACTTCCCTGGAGGACGATGCTGGTCGATACATCCCAGAGGGAATTGCAGCACCTCAGACCTCCCCTGCTCCAGTTCCCACCCTCAACCCTGATGAGGATGCTCCCTCACTGTCCTGCCTGCTGGCCAGCTGCTCATTCTATGACCACATGCTCCACGTGTGGCGCTGGGACTGGATGCCAGACCAGGCTTTACAGGACTCATAGCAATGTTGACACTATTGAAATCTAAATGTATAGCCTGACTACAGCAAGAGCATGTCATGCTGTTATTCCAGTCACTGTTTTTATCATGAAGATTCCTATACTTTGGAATGACTTATCACATTATATGCAATTAGCAAGACCCTCTATTTTCATAGTGACACTGATTTTTTTTTTTATATAAACTTGTATTTAAGCAAAAAAAAAAAAAAGAAGTTTATAATCCTCATACTCGTGTGTACTGTAGCTACAAGCGCAATACAACCATTCACCTACACATGTTCTTTGTTTGGTTTTTTTCTTCTTTAGCCCAGACCAGCTGCAGGGTCGTGTGAGGTGGTTGTTGTGGGGCTAAAATAGGGTCAAGATGCCCACTTGGCAAGCTGCATCCCTAAAGTTGAATCAAAAAACATAGCAGCTAATTGTTAATGTTAAGGAGCAGGACAAAATATCAGAAATGCACCCATAAAAATTATAACAGGCCATGTTGTTTGTCAGGTGACTTTCCCCTTGAAGGGAGAATTCTGTTTGTTAGCACTTAGCAGTGTAGCATCCAGTTTTCAAGATATTATTTTGGTGGTTTAAATCAAGTTGATTTAATTTTGGTGATATTCAGGTTAAGATCACACCACATGCGACAATCAGTAATAATTTTATATTAAGTGAGAACACAAATATAATACTGCACAAACCTGTTCAAGAGGTTCGGTTCAGTTTAGTGACTCCAGTTAGCACATGTGAGCCCTAACCCACTGCAATCGGCTACAGCTGCCTTCATCTGAACTAAAGCGGCCACCCTTAGAAGTTACTCGTCTCAATGTAGAGATATAATGAACCTACCTACAGAACAAAACTATTTGTACCAGACTATAATTATGCTTTTTAATGTTGTTTATTGTAATATGAGTCTGAGGATTGATTCACTTTTAGCCGGTCTCAAGTGGACATTAGAGTACAGGTAAGTGCAATTTTAGGTACTTAATGGCCTGAAAAATAAAGCAAACTATTATGTGGTAACTAAATAATTACCACTGTGTTTAACTTTGAAATATGTCACATGTAGCTAGTCTGCATATACCCTTGAACAAGATCACCAGTCCCTCAGTGAAGACTCATAACTTAAAAAAAACAGGAGCTCAAACCATTATAATGAATATCTGACAGTTGTGCAGTATTAATCATGCTTTTTGTTTTATTTTTCCAGGTCATCAAATAACAAAACCTGTAAGACAAGGCCTTTTTCCTGAACAGTTTATGTAGTAGTTGATTTTCTAGAAGGGGCCCTCATCAGTTGATCTGCAGCTTTCAGTCCCCAGTGAATCAGCGAGTCTTTGGAAATCCATCATTAACGTACATAATTCTTTGGATAGAGCTTGAAGAGCTTCCCCTCCTGTGTGGGCTCAAATCCATACTTCACTAGCTGGTCTTTGCTGAAAGTGCCTGCTTCCAAGTCCTGTTTGATCTGAGGAGCCACAACTTCATCGAACAGACTCTGTGCTGTGAGTGGAGGTTCTGTTCCTTTCGGGGCACGGTATGAGACATATGGTCTGAGTTTGAATCCCTCCAAAGGAGGCACCACAAACTCCGGAATCATGGCCCGAATGGCTAGAAACTTGGAGCTGGGGAGATTCCGTCCAGCGGGCCTGGCGCCCCTGCCTTTATTATGAGTCCTTGATCCACGCTTGCTCGTGAACTCAGACATCCTGTCAGCACCTCGCACCAGCCCCCTCATCAGCGTGGATAACACACCCATGCTGGCACAGCCTTCCTACAGGACAGAAGAGAGTAAAAACAAAAGCGTTGATTTTAATAAAGAGTGGGTATACACCACCTCATGAAACAGCCAAATACACTGCCAGGGAAGATGGACAAAATCCTGTTAGAATATTGACGATCAATACACAAAAATTACTTTCATTTTTCACTTGGTAGTCAGGTAACAGTGATGCTTTACTGTTCAGACTGCACTCTGGGTTAGGATTAGGGTCAACATGCGTTACATTACAGTTTAGTAAGAAACCTTGAGTGCTGATTTCTGTAACTTGTTCACTGGTTAGCTTGCTAACTAGCAAACAACTTAAATGATAGCTAAATGTAATGCTGCTTTCGAGCTCATAATTAATTTCAGATAAAATTCTGGATATTATTTGAATTTTCGATGAACTGCAGATTCAGAAATTGTTACATTCATATTTATATATCTATAAAATATTCGACTTCACTCACCTTCACCACACCGTCAGCCCAACGCTATCGAGCTGCTTCACTATCAAACAAACTATTTGGTGATTGGACGACATTAGGCACCATCTACCAATCAAAATACGAGATGCTTGTTTCGCTGCCAGTGATTGGAGGTACGTCATTTAAGACAACTACGCAGAGCCCATGAGTGGAGAAACAGCCCTTCAAAATAAAAGCTGTGTGCTCAAGGGCTGCATGCTTCGAAGGATGCAACCCACACAGCTAAATATTTCATAAACATGTTAGCATATAAAAAGATTTAAAAAAAATTGTCCGTGTTCAAATGAACTATGGGTATAATTTCTATTATAAAAGCTATTGTTTTTCATTCGACATCTTTAAAAAAAATCGTATATTCTATTCGGTGTTGCTGTAGCCTTTTGTTAAGAGAGGTTTTATTTTGATAGGTATGACAGGACATTTAGATTGCTTTTTCCAAAGAACTGGAAAGCACGTAAACGTAAAAACTTTGGCATAAGAAAGGTACATGGCAACATTCTTTGCTTGACTTTAGTCTAAAAAGGTAAGCTAGAGATTGTATCTTGTGGTTTCTCACCGAGGGACTCTGTCACCGCAGACCTACTAGTTTAGCGTTTCTTTTCCACTCCATTGTCCTCTTGGGTAACGGAACAGAGCTACACACACATGCAAAAATGAGAATTACAACTTTACAGTTAAAGTTAAATGTGATATTAAAGGTAAGGTTGGAACTGTAGGTAGACGCTGTTTCCATATTACATTGGAATCCCGTCCACCAGGATCAGCCTCGTTATGATCCGTGTTGTATTTGGATCTTTTATATGATGACAAGCAAATAAGCGAGAAGTAAGTTTAGTAAACAAAGTGAAAACGTTGTCTTTCCCCATGTCGAGCTTTGTACTAATTCAGATATAGATACGCATGCGGCAGGGTTGCAGTGTGTCAGCGCGGGAGGGAGTGTCTGGTTACCAACAGTCAGTGAGAGCTGGAGGTGATCTTTAACCCAGATTTCTGCTCTGTGACCTCGTTTCGATCAGCTGGAGAGAACAAAGATTTAATGAGTAAAGAGTCACATGAAAGGTTGGGCTTTGCAAAGTTTTCAAACATTGTTTTAGGGTGGCCTTTTCTTTCTTTCTTTTGAAAATAGGCATGGAAGACAATGATGAAGAGGAGCTCTGCAATAAGTCCAGTAATCCAGTAAGTCATTTGTTAAACTTCAGTGTCTAAGTCTTATGTCCTTAAAGCTACGTAAAAAAAAAAAAAATCCCTCTGCTAATTGAATGATCATTTACACTGCAGAGTTGCAGCACCTCATTACAGGGAGTGCAGAATTATTAGGCAAGTTGTATTTTTAAGGAATAATTTTATTATTGAACAACAACCATGTTCTCAATGAACCCAAATAACTCATTAATATGAAAGCTGAATGTTTTTGGAAGTAGTTTTTAGTTTGTTTTTAGTTTTAGCTATTTTAGGGGGATATCTGTGTGTGCAGGTGACTATTACTGTGCATAATT